TCTCCTCCGCCTCCCTGCTCCGTCCTCTCTCCGTCCGCTTTCGATCCGTTTTGCTCGTTGCCGCGTGTCGCGCTTTCGCGGCGCTGTGCCGCGCCTCGATCACTCTTGGAAACGAGGGAGGGATATCTCGCTCCTTATACAGTAATATTTCGTTTTACGATGATTCCAACGGATGTGTACGGGTCGTTGGCTCTGGCTACTTGAAATCTGTGTCACTCGAAATTTTCCACTTTGCATATTAATTAAACTGTGGACTTTTATATAGATATATTTTTCTATTCCGAGTACTCTTCATAAATGAAAAATACGTATACGGATAAAATCATAAGATGACTTTTAATATAATTGATCGTCTTGAAATTTATGATAAGTCGCCACTTTGTCGCCACTGGGGAGGTGTTTCCTCTTGAAACAATTTTATGCAAACTTTCGAAACCAAGTTTCCCTATTCCTGTATCTTTTTTTTTTTCGTTCGAACAACAACAACACAGGATTTAGACTACAAGATGATCTTCTCGTGCGTACGCAATCTGAACGATAAGAAAAAAAAAAAGAAAATGAATTCCCACACTATTCTCGAAATCGAAACTCTGTCCGACAATCGAAACGAACGAAAGTAAGATCGTGAAAAAAATTCGTGGAGGAACGCACGAATTAATCTCGAATAAGCGAGTTCACCGCGAGTTCCGACGCGAAATTTTAATTGCGCGGAAGGATCGATTTAATTAAAACGACATCGGGCTGAATAAATGCGGCAAGGATCCCCCGGAAACGGTTATCGCATTCGGATGGAAAGGAGGACGAGAAGAAGCGCACGAAGACAAGAAGAATCGTGGAAGTTGGTGGAACGAAGTAAGATCGATAAGCGGAAATACGGGACGGACGGGCGGCCAGGCAACGAGCGAGTTTTATCCGAACGTTCCAATTACCGGCTTCGGATCTTGGATCTGCCTCCTTTTATTTGTACACCCGTGTACGTGCGCACGCACACGCGGCGCCTACCTCGCGAGGCAGAACGGAGGGACACACGCGGTGCGCGCTCGCGGACAGATAGGATCGGACGGGAGCCCAGCCATGTAATTGATTCAGGGTAAAACAATGAGCCTCTATGCGGAATCGCGTGTATTGCGTGCACGCCTTGCCAGCCAACGGAGGAGGAAATTCACGGCTCTGAGAAGCTCTCCGCGCCGCTTTCCTCCTCCTTCGCTTTCTTCGATTATCCGTGTGGAACAACGAGTTGTACGTTGATGGCGAGTTATCTGTAACGAGTAATATATATATATATTTTAATTCGAAGCACGATAGATTCCTCTGAAATCTATATTTGATCCATGCCTGCTAATTGGATCGTTCTAGCTCTCTAGTGGACAATTAATTGGGCGATGGGGGGAGGGATTATATGGAATGCGATATACATCGATCTTTTTCTTGCGAATAATCGGAGATGTGGAAAAAAAAGAAAGAAATGGGAGATGGAGGGATAAGGAAGAATTATTCATGAACGAGTTTATGCAGTTAACACTTAGCTAATGCAATTGCAGTGATCGCGCGAAGGGATTAATTTTCAAAGTTATTGTTACAACTTAATCGTATTACATCGTATACGTGATAATTTTTTCTTCTCTTTCAACTTACTTTATGGCTCGGTTAAAATATGTTTAAAACTGGTATATTTTCCAATTTTATAATTTTGTTATCCGCAAAGATTATTAGAATCAAAAACGATCGCGTATATATATATCGAAGGTTCGATAATTCACGAAATTACTCCAGACCCTGGATTTACGATGACGATATATTAATTCCCGAATTTATGATACCCACAGAACCATAACTCTCATACCCGATGGCAAACATACGATTCAACCGAAATGCTTTTCCACTTTCCCTCCACCAACCAAGGACGGCCGATTCGGGCGAAAGGAAGAAAGAAGACAGAGAGAGAGAGAGAGAGAGAGAGAGAGAGAGAGAGAGAGAGAGACGT